GCCCTGGGGCAGGGAAGGGCAGGGGTGGTGCAGAAAGCAGGCCCACACGGCCAGACTATGTGGAGCTGAGGTTCGAGAGGGGTAGGGATCAGATTCAAACAGGGCCTTGGAAAGGCGTTCAGATAGAAATTTCTCTTTCATTTCCTCGGTTGCCATTCATCACACCCGGCCAGTGTCTTCACTCAACTCCCAGTACTCATGCATTGAAAGGGAAAAGCACGATTCCGACCAGCCAGTTGCTGCTGCCATCAGCACCCTATTGTTTTAGGCGTAAGAATCTCAAACTGCAAACCCACCCGTCACTACTGCCAGAAGCCGCAGGGGGAAAAATAGAGACATGAGGGAGCGAGGCATGCCTTCTACCCCCTGCTGCGTACGCAGAGTGAGGGACATATGGGAATTAATATATGCGGCGCTGATAACACGGATCTCCTTGGCATTTTGATTAAACGCCGGCGGTTATTAAACACCCTGCTTCTCAGAGCTCATCTCCGAGAGCCAATGTTGCTTTTCATTTTGAACTCTGATGAACTGTCTCAATTCCGATCGCACACCTCGGCTGCACCGTGGTCGGCTGGAGGCTGGTGTTTGAGGAGGATGGAGAAAATCAATATGAAATGTCAGGCGAGGGGTCAGATTGAACTTGTTTTCCCAGCTGGCAGGAGCCTGGGGCCACCGTGGAGGCAGCCGAACAAAGGGAGAGGTGCACCAAAGAAGGTCGCCACTTTGGACGAGTCAGGAAAATGAATTTCATTCACTTCTTAATTAGATTAGGAGGCTGGCGGCTGGCGATTCAGAGCGCTGCCTGGGTCGGGATGAGCTGTGGGGAGGCAGGGCTGAGGCAGAGGCCTGCAGGCTGCTACCGAGCTCCGGGGTCTCACTAGGGACTGTCCTCAGGGCTTAGGGTTAGATGGGGCCCAGTCTGGAAGCAGGAGCAGCTGCTGGGGGTCCCTGGGTGTGCAGCTTGGCAGATCTGTTCTGTGGGCACCATCACCCTTTCTTGTCCTCAGTCTTTAGGTCATAGTCAGTGGTCATTGCCTTGGGTTAGAAAGTCCTTGCCATATCCCCTCACAGCACCGTATGACCCTCTTTCATACCAATTATTGCACTTGTAAGTGAGGAGTCTTTCCTCCTTAGACAGTGTGATGGTTAATTTTTGGCAGCAACCTGATTAGGCCATGACATGCCCAGATATTTGGTCAAACCTTATTCTGGGTGCTACAGTGAGGGCATTTTTGGATGAATTTAACAATTAAATTGAGAGACTGAGTAGAGCAGATTGCCCTCCCTAATGTGGGCGGGCCTCCTCCAATCAGCTGAAGGCCTAAATAGAACAAAAAGGCTGGACCTCCCCAAATAAGAGGGAATATCTTTGAGCCATTGGGACATCAATGTTTCTTTTCTTTTTTCCCCTCCTGCCTCTGCATTTGAATGAAAACATTGGCTCTTCCTGGGTAATGAACCTGTTGCTTTCCTGAGGCACTAGCTTTCCTGGGTCTCCTGCAGTCCCACTGCAAGTGTTGGGACTTAGCACCGAATCCTTATACTACATCTCTCTCATACGCACACAGTTTATGTATATGAGATATGTATCTCCCATGGGTTCTGCTTCTCTGGAGAACCCTCACTAACACAGACTGTGAGCTCCAGGAAGAAGGACACCAGGCCTGGTTTGGCTCACATTGCATCCCCAGAGTCCGGTATAGCACCTGACATGTAGTAGGTGCTCAACAAATACTAATTAAGTAAATGAACAACTGAGCTTCATATATCTAGTAAAAAGGCTGGAGTTTCAAGCACCGTATAGCTGCAGGCCTAGCACAGAGGGACTCGGGGAGGAATAACTGTGATAACTGCAGGTGCCACTTATTGACTCCGGGGTCCCAGCAGGTGCTAGGCGCTCGCCCTAGGATGACATTTCCTTTCCGTGGACAGCCGGCCCTGTGAGGCTACGTTTTTTATTTCTACTTTCAAATGAGGAACTTGGGGCTCACCAGGATTAAATAATCCTGAGGTCACAGAGCACTGAGCTGAGCTCTGATTCCAAAGCTTCTACTTTAAACTATTCCAGTTCTGGGAATTTCTAAGGCCTTGTTCTTTTTCCATCTTGAGTGGAGGGTCCATCAGCCTCCCATTCAGCTTATTTCTCAATATCCAGCACTCGTGTGGGTCTGTCTGATCCTGGAGCCCAGGCTGGTGTCTGCCGCGCTGGCTGTGAGCATGGCGCTTCTCGCGCAGTCTCTGGCATCCATGTTGGTGACCCTTCCAGCCTGGTTCTACTTTTGCCCACCAGAGAGCCCTACCTCCTTTGTCAGCTCGTCACCTCACACACAGCATGTTCCCAATTGAACCCTGGCCCTTCACTCTCCTCTCTATGGCTTCTGATTAGTCCCCATTCCACGTGCCCATTTATGTCAACCCTCAGGCATACATTTATTTATTGAATACATATTTACTGAGCACCTACTGGTGTCAGGCGCTGGTAATACGATGTGAGCAAAACAGATTCAGTTCTTCAGAGAGTTTATAGTATAGAGGGACGAACACCGAACATGACCTAACATCCATGGCTGGTGATTGCCAATCTCTAATCACATCACCCATAGTTACCTTATAAGAAAAGGCTCTATTTTCCTTTTCCTTCCTTTCAACTTCCATAGCTACCATCCTTATCTACATTATAAATTTCCATTTATTACTTTCTAATTCTTCTATGTTTCTACCGATCACTGCTGTGTTAATCTTCCATAAAATAGGAATTCTGTAACTCTGTTCTCCAGCCAAATGATCTCAAATTGCTCTCCACATACTAGGAACTGGGGCACATGGATGTATCCTTGAAGGTCAGGGAGAAGGAAGATATGGGGTACATTAAGTGGTACAGGAGGCCATGGGATAAATGCTGCAATTTGGGGGAAAATAAATTTTGCTTGAAATTTGGGGTGGGTAGAAATGTAATTATTACATTAAACGGAAAGTAGGCATTTTATGGGAATAAAATACAGAATTCAGGTGAAATTTTAAGATGGGAAAATAAGTCTGCAAATAAAACCGGTTGTGGGCAATACCTCCCCCAGGGTCTCGGCCCCTGCCTTTGCTGTCAGGCCAGGCCACCCAGAGCACCTCAGGGAGGTTGGTCAGCTTCTGGGTGTTCTTCCTCCATGGCAGCAAGGCTCGTGCCTGACCTTGGGAGTGCTGTAGTTGGGGACACAGCTGTGAGCAAAACAGAGTAAGTCCATGCCCTCAAAAAGCTGATGGTCTAGATCAGTGATGGGGAACCTATGACACGTGTGTCAGAGGTGACACATGAACTCATTTGTTTGGTTGATTTTTCTTTGTTAAATGACATTTAAATATATAAAATAAATATCAAAAATATGTCTTTGTTTTACTATGGTTGCAAATATCAAAAAATTTCTATATGTGACACGGCTCCAGAGTTAAGTTAGGGTTTTTCAAAATGATGACACGCCGAGCTCAAAAGATTCGCCATCACTGGTCTAGATCCACAATCCAATAGAACTTTCTGCAATGATGAAAATATCTTAAACATCTTAAATCTGCACTATCCAATATGGTAGCTACAAGCCACACATGCCTATTGAACACTTAGTAGATAATCTGAATGGAAAATGTTTTTGAAGACTTAGTATGAAAAAAATAAAACATCCCATTAACGATGTTTAATTATTATCTCATCGAAGCCCCATGACAAGCCCATGAGGCAGATGTTATTATTCTACCTATTTACAGATGAGAAAGCCCAGGTTCAGAAAGTTAGGGAAAGCTGCACAAAGCAGACAGCTAACCGGGTTGAAGCCTGGCTTTGACCTGGGCCTGTGGGAGTGTAGAAGCCACACAACTTATAAACCACTATATATGGGGGACCGACCACTGCCCCTCAGGCACCTTCACTAGGACCACTGGGAGAGGGGGAGGGGGAGAGGGAGCTTTTCTAGAAAGCCTTCCTGCTGGCTCCAGGTCAGCCTGTCGACCACGGTGCTGGCCTTGAGTGCCAGCTGACATCTGCTTTACCTGCTCACATCGGTCCGAGCCTCAGCCCCCACTGGATTGGAGCGGCTGTGCTCTGTCCACGCCCGGCAAACTCCAGCGTGACCAGAGGGCCTGTGACTCTGGTTTCCCTTTCCCCTCCCCCTTCTCTGAAACCTTCTTCCGGTGCCCACTAGAACCATCGGTACCTCTAGAATGCTGGTTCCCAAAGCCGCAATCTCTCTAAGAAGCCGCAAACCCCTCCCTCCAGCCACTATTCTTTAAAAAAAAAAAAAATTGAGATATATTTGACATATAACATTATACTAGTTTCAGGATTTGATATATGTCTATAATGCAAAATAAACACAATAAGTATAGTTAACATCCATCACCACACAGTTACCCATTTTTTTTTTGTGATGAAAACTTTTAAGATACTCTCTTAGCAACTTTCAAATATACGATACAGTGTGGCAACTTAGTCACCATCCCCAGATGCCATTCTTGATTCCTTGTATAATCTCAGCCTCCTGCACAGGCCAGCAGGTCCTGGTAGCTCCTGCCAAGGTCTACCCAGAGCCCCCCTGCCCCTTTCTGCTTCCCCGCCACCGCCCTGGTCCGGGCCGTGCTTAACTCCTGCTTGGACGTGGCAACAACCCCCAGCGGTCTCCCCTTTCTGGCCCTCAGGTTCCTCTGCCCACAGCAGCAAGACTGATCTTAAAACATAATTCAGATCATGTCACAACGTTATGTGACAGGGCTCATGCCTTATTCATCTCGGCAGACCACAGCCTGCAGCGATGTTTGTGGGATTGAACGTGAGGTTTCATCTTTATTGAAATACCCACCGTGGAGCTGACACCGAGGCAGGCGGACACTGGTACTTTCTTTGCTCCTAGTGAGTCTCATGTAGGAAAGGAGATCAGCCCTCCCCACCCCCACCCTCCCCACCTGTGTCAGGGCCAGTGCCCCGCCCCTCAGCTCTGCGCTGGCTGACGGCTACTCACATTTGGTGTGCCTGTCACACAGGGCCGACGCCCGCATGTCGCACAGCCGGATTGTCCCTTTGCTGCTGCTGTACACGAAGGTGTTGCAGTGATGGGGGTGGAACTCGGCCGCGGTGATCACCTCCGTGAGCTCCTCCATGTTGGCCGGCTTAATGTCCACGATGTCTGGCGCCGAGAGTCAAGGAGCGGACGGGAGAGGTGTGAGTGGGGAGCAGGGGGTGGCGGGGAACAGGTTAGCTTGCACCACACAGGATGGGTCCTCACCAAAACGCTGTGAGCAAACAGGCAGGTATTACTGTTCCCAGGCCGATGAGCCCAGGGTCACCCAGTGGTCGGAGGCAGCACGGGAACTCGGGTCTCCCTGGCCCATTTCAGTATTTCATCCTCCTAACATGTAGAGCGCCCATCAAAGTTACCTGCTCATGCAACTGTGCAAAAACGTGCCAAGCTGCACAGACTTCCATTTCTCCTTTTTACAATGGTGGTTACAAACTCGTCCCATTCCAACTAAATAACTCATTTTATTGGAATCTTTACCCAGACTCCTGCGCTGTAAGTAAAATCTACAATAGACTGTAAATCATCTTCTACGAAATCTCTGAGATCTTCTTTAATATGATGATGATGATGATAATAATAGCTGCTACCATTTATTGATCACTGTGCAAAGCACTTAGGTACTTTATCTCATCAATTTTCTTATCCCCATTTTCCAGGGGGTGGAAACGGAAGCTCAGAGCATGTAAAGTAACTTGCTAAAGAGTGACAGTTCTAGGATTTTACCCCAGGCGCGAAATTTGTGTTCTTTAGTAATTATACAAAATTTCTCTTATTGAAGACATACAGGGGCTCAAGTCTCCATAAGCTGTGATTTGCTTTAGCGCTTGTGGGAGTTTAAGCATCAGAAAGAAGCATCCAGTGGTATGGCGAGATAGTTTTAGCCTCCTATGGAATATATACCCTTAGTTTATCATTTGTTTTTTATTTTTCTCAGGTTTTTACTTTCTGGTCAAGAATTAGTATACATCTATTCATGACCACATCCTTGTATACTTCAATGAAACACTTGGCTTTCACTGATGAATGTAAGTTAGCAGAAATACCTTCAGTAGGGTGTGTGGCATGCATGAGGTGTGGGTTTAGGCTGATCCCTTCATATCCCAACTGAGAGCTCAAGAGGGGACCTGGGTGCAGGCTGGGAGGCGCCTGGCTGGGGACCCAGCCGCTTCCTGCGAAGGAGCCGGCCTCGTGATGTGGATGCTGTTGTACGGGAAAGCTGACCAAAAGTGATTACCACTTTTCCTAGACCTGACAACCTTTGAGCCACCTTTGTGACCTTTGGCCCACCTCTCTATCCACAGGTTGTATGGGAGAGGGGGAGGGGGAGAGGGAGCTGGAGAGGTGAGAGAAAACATTGATCAGTTGCCTCCTGTACGTGCCCCAACCAGGACCAAACCTGCAACCTTTTGGAGTACAGGACAACACTCCAACCCAGCCGGGCAAGCTAGTTACATTTTTAGTAATGCACATGAAAATAAATGCATAACAATTAAACTCAAACTGTTGATGTGTGCGAGTTTATGTATCTGGTTTTGGAAAACACTACTGAATTGACAAGTGATAACTTGATACTATCCTATGGGACTGGCATGGATGAAAGTCCTCTGTTTTTCCTGGTTAGTAGCATAGCCCGCTCCTTAGAGTTTAGATGAGGTACAAGTAAATGCACTGGTATTGTTAGTTACCCCAACACCAACAAAGTGCTCATCTATTATCAAACATCACCTCTGCTCCTGCTACAACAATCCCAGCACGCCAATTTGTTGTAATAAGGGCTTTGTCGTTGGCTCTGCTACTTCCCCTTCAGTTACCTCTTATAAATCCTGTTGGGTTCTTTCTAAAATTAACTCAAGACTGAACTAACATATTTTACTACACTTGCCCTCACCAAACCCAGGTGCAAGTATTACTTGGGTCTCCAGAGCGTGTGGGTCCCTTGGATTCATAAAATACTACCTTTCAACTCAACTGTTGCTAGAGTTATACCTATTATTTCAGTCAGCCCCACACCCTGAGGAGTGCGAGCCCATGCCCCCCAGAACGAGGCCCCGAGCTGCAGCTCTGATGTTCTCACCAGCCCCTGACCCATGCCTGGGGCTTGTGGCCATGACATGGGGTGCCGTGAGCAGAGGTCAGGGTTCAGCTGTTGTCAGATTTCATCTCCCTCTAGAGAGAGCCTCCAGAGCCCGCTGTGCCCTGAGCAGATTTCTCCTTTCCCAAAATAGGACAAGAAAACCTGCCGTCAGCGTTCTCGACCTCCTACAGGGTAGCTCTAAACACAAGAGGCACTGGAAGGGATCTTCGCTTTGCTGTGTGGGAGGGGAGGGGAGGGGAGGTGCCACATCCATGGTTATTTTTTCTCACCTAAAAATAAAGCCCGAGTCAGAATGTGTGAAAACAAAGCGCTTAGACATATCTGGGAAACCAGCAGCACGCACCACCATCAAGGACACCCTCCTGGGAGGTGACCACTGAGTTGGCCATGTCTGGATCCAGCTCCCCGTCCCATCCTGGGCCGTGATGTCTGTCCACCATCCCTCATCCTCAAGCACCTCCCTTAAGACTAGAGTGCTTGTTAGGGTCTGATTCTGTGGGAGTCAGGGGGTGAACTGTGACTCTACTCCTCTTTTTAACAACCACGATGATAAGGAGGAGGAGGAAGAGAATACCAACCTGCAGTTAAAGACGATCAAATGGACTGTCCCATTTAACCTTCATCCCAGCCTTAGGAGGTCAGTACCATTAACAGGCCCATTTCCAGCAGAGGAAATAGTGCTGGAGGTAAATTACTCAAGGCCATCTGACCAACAGGGGGAGAAGCTGCATTTGAACCCAAGTTTGTCCAACTCCAGAACCTGGTTTTGGACCACATGCCCCCTCATCGTTGGGGAATGGCCCCCCCGCCCGCCCCGAGCCAGCCCTTCCGAGCGTGGTGAGTCTAGCTCTGTTGGACTGCTCCCTGGCTATTCTGGGAGGGAGCTGACTTCTGCTCAGGGCCTGTGCTCTCTTAATTCACTGTCCATTTTGGGGGCCACATTTTTCAGAACCACAACTGGGACACAGCATCTGACCTAGGATTTTTGTGTCCTATGATGTGATAATTTTTTTTTTTTTGAGCCAGAAGTTGGGACAGAAACACGGTAAGGGATTTCCTGAATTGTTTACGAGGGAGAATTTGCTCAGTTCTAGAGACATTTGGGAGAAGGAACCCAGTTACCAAAAATTCAATGGCTCATGGGGGTGACGGTAGGGTGTCTTTCACCTCTGTCCGCCTAGAAACCCTTACACTATTGTAAAGGGAGACACACACCTTCGGTCGGTGTGGTTTTGCCCTTCACGTTGGGGAGGGAAGAGAAAGGACATGAGCAATGCACAGCTCCCTGTATTATCTTGAACATGAGATGATGCATTTTGACAGTCAATTTTCTCTTCCCCATCGTCTAGAGCTCTCTATCCAAATTATTTTCCTGTTGTCCCAAAGAACTAAACAGCAAAAGCAAAACAGAGCGTTGGCTTCACGGATGATACACGAGGCAGACAGCCAACAGATTGCTATTAAATTAACCCTGGGGCTTGACAGATCTGTTCTTCCTGACCCCGACTGCTTATGGCATTCCGTATTCATGCTGAGCCGGGGCAAATTACCTCTGCTAACAAAAGGGGTTAATCTGCCTCTCCACCAGGACTCTGGAGGCAGCTCCGAGGACAGGAGGGGGCACAGCCAGTTTGGCAGCTGAGCTCCATGCTTGGAAGGCAGAAGGTGGGAAGGTGAGGGCACCACTGTGCCAGGCAGTAGCCTAAAGCATCATTTAAAATAATAATTGAAGACACCGGGAGGTCACCCCTTAAGAGATCGGGTTAAAACAAATAAGAAGCCAGAGCCATAAATCACCTCAGCAGTGGAGTGAGGGAATGGAGAGGGTTATGGCAAGATGCTAAGGGGTAGCAATGGGGCTATGCAAAAGTCATTTTCTTAAGCCCAAATTTGGAGGAAGCTTTCTGTAAAAAAGTCTGCATTTGCAATGCAACATTAAAAAAGATTGACAACGACATACATATACATATATATATATACACACACATATACACAATAGGGAAATAATACAATTAGGGAATTTTGATTTATCTCACTAAATCATTTATGTAGTGAAATTCCAGGTCAGTTAAAAACATAGTATGAAAAATTCTATCTAAAGTATGATCATAATGTTATTTAAAAATGTATACTCTGAAAATGATGAGTTGAAAGGTATGCTACCAAATGTTAGTGACAGTTCTATCTGAGTGGGTCTATCAATTTTTTCTTTTCAATTTTCAGTTATTATTTTCACATGTTCTTTTAATAACGTTGTAGTGTTTTAGGATGGGAAAATATATTTTCTATGTTTATCTATCCATCTATGTATCTATCTCTATATAATTTTAGGTGAGAAATGTTAGATACAAAATATATACAGTCTGTCCATAGCCACATAAAAAAGAGTGTGTGTGTGTGTGAGAGAGAGAGCGAGAGAGCGAGAGAGAGAGAGAGAGAACAGACAGGAAGGAAATATAGTTATTTCTTTTTAAAAAAATATATTTTGATTTTTTACAGAGAGGAAGGGAGAAGAATAGAGAGTTAGAAACATCGATGAGAGTGAAACATCAATCAGCTGCCTCCTGCACATCTCCCACTGGGGATATGCCCGCAACCAAGGCACACGCCCTTGACCGGAATGGGGAATTAGATTCCAAGGTAAGCATGTAAGTTACCCTTTAGTGACTCTAGCTTGTGTCCATTCATTCACTCACTCACTCATTCCTCCACACATTTCACAAATGTTCACAGAGAATCAGCCAATACCCTTCTGGGTGCAGAGAACATAGCCTAATACATGTAGCCTATATTCTAGTAGGGGACATGGTCACTAAACAAGGTAAATAAATACCATATACAGTATATTAGATAGAGATAACTGCTAAACAGAAAAATAAAGCGGGGAAGAGTGTATGTGTATGTGTGGGGGCAGGGTGTGCGTGTGCGTGTGTGTGTGTGTGTGTGTGTGTGTGTGTGTGTCCCAGATTAAACAGGAGAAGGCTTTCTGGGCAAATCAAGAGTTAAAGTT